TTCCCTATGGGCTCAGTCAGCTCAGTTCTCCTCTCACTTCTGAAAGCTCCATCCTACAACATCCCCAGCAAAAATCTCCAAGGAACACATATATTTTAAAGCTACGTGAGGCCTGCGTGAGACTCTGGGGTCTGCCTCCTTTCATTTCACAAACTACCAAGTGAGTTCTCACACAGGACACAAACCCAAATGTGTCTGAAAACAACAGCCTGATCTCTGCTATCATGTACATCCAAGTAAAAACATTCTGCTCCTGTATCCGCATTCAGATGACCCTCTACTAAATTTATGCTGACACTTTTCTTTACAGGAAACACAGGCTTTGGTTATTCCTTATGCTTAGATCACCCACGCAGCAGCATTCCCACCTAATTTCGGGTTTCACTTCCATGTGTTAATACAAAGGAGTTGGGCTTGTAGGACCTATCTCTAGGCTCCCAATGACTTCAGTCAGGACTTGTTCCAATAAAATCAGTGGAGATGATGTTAGCAGCAGTGGAAGAAGAGATTTGCAAAGGAAAAGATCAAGCTCATTCACTTACGTTTCATGAGTCCCGAAAAAGAAGATGGGGTATTTATTTGCTGGAGGCTTCACGGCTCCTTCAGGGAGTTCATCAATCTGTGAGACAGAAATGGAAAAGGGATTATTCCCAAATGTGGTGTCCCTCATCCAAGAATCTTTCCCAAGCCGTGGAAGTACTAGTGCAGATATCCTGCACTCCAGGGAGGTCTCCCTGTGTGCTGGGGTGGGGAAGGGAAGATGGCTGCAGGTCACACAAAGTCAGCATATGGCAGAAACACTACAGGGAGACAACAGAAGACCAGGGAACAGACCAAAAGTTTTAATGATTTCATGGGCATTATAATATACAAAGGCAATAAAATAAAGTCTGCTTAATTTAAGTGTTAACTTCAGATGCTGCCCCATCAAAGGCACTGAAGCCCAGAGGGTAATCCTGTCTGTCTCACACAGCCACCTAAATAACTTCTGCAACAAATGGGAAACAGATGGCAGCTCTGAGCCTCTGCAGCCAGAGAACCGGACAATCTCCCATCGGTGCTTCCTGGTGGTGATGGTGGTACCCAGTGTAAGACACGTAACGCACACCAGGGAGGAGGTCCTGGGACTCTCCTTCTCCTGCAGCATCCTAGTAACTGCTTTTGGTCACCGCTCCCCTTACTCCATCTCTTCTTTCACATTTTATCCCTGGCCTCATATTTCTCAAGACACAGCTGCAGAGCAGCTAAGGGAGGGATGGGTGAGGGTGTTCTCCAGAGACATAGCCAGGATGGGGACAAACTCCTCAGGCTGAGCAGTGCCTAGACCCACTGTGTATGAGTGAGAGTGTTGGTCGTGGGGCAGGAGGTTAGGCCCATGGCTTAGTCTTGTCCATATCTCATTTTTCAGTCCTCTGCAACAGAATTAACAGAGTCCAGGTGCCTACCCATATAAACCAGCACAGCTTTAAATAAGATCTAAGTGCCTGCCTTCCCCGAAATGGCACTTCTGAGCATATGTGGGCATCTAAAATTAAGTGTCCAGAGAACTCTCTGGCTACGAGTGAGCTGATGAATCTAAATATCTATAGGGCAACACCAGAGAGCAGGTGAATGGCTGCCTGGGTCTTAGGCAACTCAATCTCAACATAAGCGTATTGAATCCTGCCAGATGTCACTGGAACCGAGAGCAAAGTGCTAACATACCAATGATATACAAAATCTGCTCCTCAGCAGAGCACAGGGATGGAACCTGCATATTTTCACTCAGGAGGCCAG